GACAAACGTTTCTTTTGTGGATCGTACGGCCTCCGTACGGATCCACGCATCGTTGGGCAAGGGTTAATCGTCGGTTGTACGCCGGGGCTGTTCAAAGCGCGGCGCACCGCCGCTCGCTCAGAATATCTCTCGGTTACGGGCACGCAAGAATCGACGCGAAAATTGATGCGCGGTATCGTCCGGCATTTCAATGGAACGAAAGGGAGAACTGGGATATAGGGGTGGCGCGACGCGGCGCGCGATATACGGCAGAGTTCCCGGAATATAAAGTTATCAGGCCGGCGCGATCCGAATTCGCGTCCCAGCCTAACAAGATTTCCGCGGTCGAAATGAATTTTCATGGACGGCTTCGCCCGCGGCGAAGAATTCGCCCCGATCACGTCCCAGCGCCTGCGGTGTTTTTCCTACTGGCGCGACTTCACGCGGCCGGAATTGTAATTCGGTTCGTTATCTCTGGTTGTTTGAATTATTGTCTCACCGTAAAACAATAAATTGCTTGCGCGCTGCGGCATCATTATACGCCGGCTTAGATATCAGACAATGCCGCGACGCCCGTTAAATGGGCTGCGAGTCGTGTAAAATGAAATTGATGATATTGATGCCGACGCATTGTCCCTATTGTTTTATCAGTACTGCCACATTTCCGTGAAAAATTTTGAGAAATCTGAAGGACTGTTTGAATGTTAGTGGTATTTTTAAAAAATTTTAATGATTACGCAGAATATTTGTTTTCGAAGCTAACCTCATTTCGATAAGATGTTCATAGATAAAAGTGTATTCATTTGTATTCGTCTTGGTTATAAAATGATTTGTGACGACCAATTTTTTGTTACAACACAGAAGAATAAATAATACGAATCATTTTGTCCCCGAAATTGCTTAGTACTGTATTCCTAATTGCATGAGCCAGCTGGGTTAAAATAATAAAGTCTTAGTACACCCGTGAAATCGATATTCAATTAACTTTCAGGAACCATTTATTATGCAACGTGGTTCCCATTTTTTTAATAAGCGACGTCCACGTCGGAAATACAGAAACACTAATTATGTAAATTCCAGTTGCACGTACCGGAGTACTTGTTTCACCAATTATTACAGAGTCTCGTTGAACAGCTAGCGAAGCTCCATGCAGTATCGATTAAATATCGTCTTTTTTTAGTAGACGCCAGGTGTCCTGATATTTATGAACGACAGCGTACGCGGAGCGCGCCTTGTCGTGTCGTTAAAGAATATTCGCAAGGAACGAGGCCGGAGAACGAAGTTGGCGGATATCGTTTTCGGGGGACGGGCATTACCGTTTTCTTCCTGTCTCTTTTTTCTCCCTCGCGGGTAATAATTTCAGGGAGGCGGGATAACGCGATAGACGGGCGCGTCGAAACAAAATTTCGTTGTGTTTCCCTTCGAGCGGGAAAACGATTTACCGACCGCGCCGTTTAGATTTTCAACGATCGCGCCGCATGAATATGTAATCCCCGCTCTCCGAACTCGCGCGAGAAATGTGCATTCTCGTCGATACTTCAATGAAACAACGGTGAGTCATTGGAGTCGGTGGACGAATGAGAAAACAACGATGATATTTTACATAGACATCAAACAATGCTAGAAATATATATTTACAATTTACTTATATTCTTGATGCTACCAATTCCTTTTTAACACGTTCGCGACAGTATGTAATTTCTGAAAGTCTATAGCTGAATATCGGAAATCTCTTCTATCTAAATATACATGAATATAAAAAGTATATCATTTCCAACCTTTTCAACCAGCACACGCCGATTTTGATGAAACTTATGTGAGACATAGTTCTAAGAAAATATTTTACATGTATTCTTTCTTAGTCAACATCCACTTTGAAGGGGCGAAAACAACCCTCAAGGTTAAAGGTTGAAAGTAAAAAATATAAAAGGACGTAAGACTATATTACCAATATAAAAAAAATTGGAAACGAAAACCCACATTACCCATCTCAAGTATGTTAAATATATCAAAAAGGAAATTGCCGTATATTGATTAACCAGAAGAATTAAAAAAAAGACAGAACTATTCGAATACAGCCACACAAATCTCATGAAATCCTCCGAAAACAATCGCGGAAACATTTTCTATGGCGCTGTTCAATTCCGACGAGAATTCGGCAAGTACGCTAATTCATCGTTAACGCTCTCGTCAATCAAGGAAAGCAGACCGCGCTTTCATTTCGATGTTTCATTTCAGTTTCCCCGCCGTTTAACGTGATGGTCCGTGGGTTCGTTACGCGGTTCTTCCTCCGGAGAAGAGAGAGAATTGAAACCCCGAGAGAACGATTACAGAGTGTACACAATAATCCTTTCATTCCGTGGAAAATTCGAGGGGAACGTAATGTCTGGACGGCTGTGTCTCCAGCGCAGCGTGCGCGCTGCAACCCCCGCCCCCGCCGTACTCGCTCAGACGTAAGCGGATTTTCATTCGACCGCGCGGATAAGTCCCCGTCGGATCCGCTCGAGAAATAGGCAACAGTGGCCTCGAAGCGATACGCAAATACCGAATTCGCGCGGTAAATAAAGAGGCGAGGGGCGGAGGCGCGATGCTAGGATGATCGTTTACCTTTTAAAGCGGCCTTTTATCCTCTTTTAATCGTCAACGATGCGGAAACTCTGTTCTACGGACGGTAGACTAATTTTATTGTTATCGTTATTATAATCATCCCTCTTTTTTTTAGATTCTACTCGTCAAACTGCCCTCCCTTTGCGCGATTTGTTTATTACCCGGAGGACCTTGGCTTTGGTTAATGAATTACGATGGTTTGTTTGATTTACGAAAGGAATAAGTAATAGAAATATTAAAGACGCAGCTTTAACAGTGACATCTGAAGAGAATAGCGTGTGAGTAGAGAAGTAAAGAAGTAATGTTTGATTCATCTATTCTTCGGATTTAGAATCGTAAGTTGATTATAGGCAACGCGCACCGTTTATGTTATGATTGATGCTTCAAAAAATAGGGTGTAGTTTTTAAAGGTGACTCTTCTGAATTATTAGATTCTTGAATTCTTTCGACTGCAATGCAAACTGGAGCGCTATATATATAATGTAATATAATGTATAATATAAATTGTACGGTTACCTGATGCAAAAACTATGAACTACGTCATACTCTATAATTACAATCGCAGTAACGTGGCCACTGGGTTTAACAGTCGATCTGAAAACAAACAAAACAGATCATTGCGAGGGTGATATCAACCCCTTATAAAACTCAACGAGACAGAAACCTCGATAAAACTTAACGTACGCGTAGGGTCGGGTAATTACACGAATGATCGAGCAAGTGGAAAGTTGCATGAATAATTAACCAAGCTAACAGTGCATGTGCAATCGAACACAGTCGAATAAACGCAAAAAACCGATTATAATCTAAGACTGCGTGAAAGGTACGTACCTGAAATCATCGTAACCGATTCGAACAAAAATAACGATAAATCGAGTTCCCTAAATGTTACACTATTTAACATTGTCCATGTATAAGAATATATCGTAAGCAAATTTTTCCATGAAACAAATATCCCGAATTCTTACCGGTCGCGGTCCAACATAAATTTCATCGCTCGTCGCATAACACGCGACACTAAAATTACAACGCATAAAATTTCATGCGATCGTTCTCGTAAATTATTCCAGAACACCGATAAAATTTTGGGGGGAAATATCGTTGTCCAGCGAACCCTCGACGACGTTTTCTGCGCGACAGACCACCCGTATCTGGCTTCGGTAATTCGTTAGATCGTGATCCGAGAGACAGACTCCTTTCTAACCTTGCGAATCCGACTGTTCAGGCGAGGCAACCGGGGAAATGACGTTCCTTTTTACGGGACGTAATAAATCGACCGGTTCCCATCGATCCTCACCCCTAGAGTCGAGGGAGAAAGAGTCCGGTTTGACCGTGAATAAGCCGCGCGAGGATCGTTCCAGCTGGCTCCGATACAGGAGAGACGAAATTAAGTATCGACCTCGTATAGTTTATGCTTAATTATATGATATATGTTATATTATATATTAAATATTATATTATATATTATATTTTATATTATATTATATTATATTATATTATATTATATATTATATTTTATATCATATGGTGATATATAATATGATTTTCTTTGCGACTAAGCTCGACCAATTAATTTTACCATCAATATTTAGCCAGAAATGCGAAGGCATGTTTCTTTTATTGTGAGTATGTACATTTTAACTCCTTACTCTACAATATCGTATCAGACTCGGGGAGAAGATTTCAAATAGAATTTGGCAGATATAAATATCACTTAATTCTTCCACGTCCAAATTCAATATTATTTTTCTATTATTAATTGTAATGCTCCTGAGTAAAGGTAGGCATAGAATAAGCACAGAATTTTCCTCTTTTTGTAATGAATAATGAACAATAAAATATCTCTTTTGAACGCAATTGGGAGAGAAATCATAAGCCAAGGAGTTAACTTTGCTGAAATATTGTAAATAGCAAAATAGTTTTTCGCTTGAATCCAAGTGCAATGAGCAACATTATCTTCCGTTTAAGCAATCGAGAAATCTTCGCCAGGAGTCCCACTCGACATTATAAGGCAAAACGTTATCTATAATTTTCCCGATGCAAAGATTTTCGTAGCGACGCTAGGAAAAATTGTCTATTCTTCGCGAAAGTCGATGGAACGATCGCCGTGACAAGTGAAAAAGGGAAAAGATTCTGCAGTCGTATTAATCTCGATCGTTTAATTAACATCAACGCCGAGACAAAGATTAGAGACGCTCCGTGCGGCGAAAATTTTCCAGCAAGTGATTTTCCTCTGACTTACCCGCGACGGTGTTATTCCGGAAGAATGAGTAACGTCGAAAAAAGGGAAAATATTCTGGAATCGCATTAATCTCGCTGACTTAATTAACATCAGCCGGGATCGCGATTGCTGGCGATTAAGGGTGAATTCTTTTGGATGAGATTCTCTAGTACTCCCTCAGGTTAGAATTATTTTCCGCAGTTTCTGGAGGGAATATTTCCGCATCAGCCGCGATCATGATAGTTTAATTAAAGTCATTGGAGTCGAATGGAAGTATCCGAACGCGTTCCAATGAAATATTCTTTTTCTTTTTCCGTGGGAAATGGAGCTGGTGGGATCAACGTGTCAAGCGTGATCAAGATGTCCAGGAGAAAGGAAAGCATTTTCCGACCGAAATAATCTCATCCGTTTAATTAACGTCAGCGTCAGGACTACGATTAGGGCCAACTAATATAAGAGACGTTTATTAGAAGAAATTTCCTTAACCTTTCTTGCAGGAGAATGCTCCTTTATCCATTGCGAAGGATTTAAATCTAAGAAAAGAGAAAATATTCTCGGCACGAAAGTAATCTCGTTTAATCAACGTTAAGGTAAAACTTAAAGATGATTAATATAGTAAAAACTTTTCCAAAAGAACAAAATATCCAACAAACTTACTTTCTTCCTCACTTAGTTTCTCTTCATTTTTCCTCACCTTCTATTCTCCACCAATCGATTACCATCAACTCAAAAGCATCGACCAAAGATGATTAACACGATAAAACCCTTCCACGAATGTTCCCCTAATCGCTCGAATGAAAAAAATCAATCAGCGTGGCTCTAACAGTGACCAATCAAAACACATCACACTCTCCATTGATCTCGATTTTTCGGCGTTTCATTACGCGGATTAACGCACTCGAAAATCATTTATTAGACACCGGTACGCGTCGATGCGGGGGCGGAGCGGGTGTCGCGCGACCGTGCAAATAACCGTGGAGTATCGTCCACGTCCTTGACACGGATCGACTCGACCAGTCGAACGGTTCCGACAAAAAGGTTACAGCACCGCTTAACTCGCGCTCCCGTCCGTTCAGCCGCAATCCAATATCCGTCTATAATTCATAAAGCGAAAGCCAATAATCTATGGTAAAACGGTATCCCGTCACACGGACGTTATTCTTTTACGAGCGACGGCAATTTATCCGCCGCGCGGACGCGACTCGACGAATTCCGGCGTCGCATCGCGGGGGAGGAGATCTGACTAGTTCCGAGCCGGTGTTCCTCGATCTGTCCCGGAGGGGGTAGGCGAATTTAATAATTTCACCGGGGACATTACACATTCATCCCGTTCAGCACGCCCGAAATTCATTTCTCTCGTTATCCATTCCGCGCTAATAAATATAATTACACGCCCTCCCACACCCGTTTTCCTCCTACACGGACGGTTGAACACGAGACGAAGATGAACTCGCTATCTCGCCCGCGAGGTAATATCGTTCCTCGTCCTCGCTCCTTTAATCTAATCCGTGGTAACCGATCGCGTCGCTCTAATTAATGAAATTAATACCGCCCTCGCTAGTTCTCTGTTATTTTCACTGTGCATCACGCCTCTAACACGCTTCTGTGCAGTGCATTTCTTTTTTGAATTGGAATCGACCGTGATTACGCGATTAAAGATTACTCGAGGGGATAGAGTAAAGTGTTCGACGAATGGAATGGAGAGAAATTTCATTACAATACTCGAAACCAATTTTAGTTTGTCAGTGGTACTCAATAAAGTTAGTTATTAGGAGCGAATATTCTTATAATTTTCTTCGAATGGATCTTACGACAGTACGTCCACTTTATTAAATCAAACTTTATAAAGAATATATCGTCTATGTCCTAACATCTTTAAATACATTCATTTATTTATAATAGTTATTTTTATAAGGAAGGTTAGCTTATTTAAAGGTCATCCACTGCTACTATGAAGCGACTTATTTAAGAATGATGCGCTAACAAAAATAATACTCTCCGATAGGATCTGATTTCTAATATCCTCTATACTCTGAAACGTTCAGCTAAGCAACTTGCAAGGATACAGCGCGATTTCGAGGACCAGAAGGATGAATCCTCCAGCGAAGCCCATGATCATCAAAAGAAACGCGGGCACAAATTGCTGCAGATGTAACTTTGACTTGTAGTCCTCGTTTTGTGACATCGCGAATAACCTGGCTCGCGTGTCGTTCGCCACAGACACTTGGACCATTAAGTCGAAAAGACCGTGGTCGATGAATTGTTGGATCCTCGAGTTCAGTCTCGACATCTCCGGAAATCCTTTCCAAGTGGCCAGAGCGAGCGGGAAGCTGTTGATCACGTCAGTGGTCATGGTGTATGCGAAGGTGGTCTCGACCGCCACGCTTCGCGAGGAGTTCAGCACGGCGACTATAGCGTACGAGCTGTTTCTGCCCTCCAGCAGATCGCTGAGAAGATGTACGGACACCTCGTGATCCAGGATCATGAAACGATCACGCGCGTTGCTCAACCTTTTGTCCATTTTCTCGATCATCTTGACGAAATTAGCGGTGCAGGCCATCCCGATGGAGGACGACATAAGTTCGTCCATGGTCTCGATCTTCAAAGTGGATAGATTAATCAGCTGATCAGCTAGAGAGTCTATGTACACCTGTGCTAGGAACAGTCCAAAAATACTCCAAGCAATGAAGTGAATCCTCCTAGACAGTCTGGTGGGCTGTCGATAGAAGGCTGATCCGATGATCAGCGCGAAGATCTCCAATCCGGAGACGTCAGAAAGAAACAAGCACTTGAAGACGATACCAAGAATCAAGGATCCTCCGATAGCCGCCCAAACGAACGGCTGAAAGGGCTCTATCAGACCCTTCAAAGACACTTTGGGGATCTTCGGTACAACCCAGACAACCTTCAGCATGTCGTACGAGGTGGAGTAGCCAATGTCTGCGTCGTGCTCCTGCAGGACCCTGCCAACCACCAAGTCAGCCCTGGTGTCATCGTACAGGATCATCCTTACCTGCTCCGCGGAAGAAGTGTTGTCGCTCCAATACACTTGCTCCCGGTTCACCTGCAGATCACTGACGATTTCTTCGATCAGGATACCTTCGAATCCGTCCAACCTGTCAGACCCGTTATTAGTGAACACGTACGGAGACTGTTCAAAGTAAGCCACCTTCAGGGAGCAGTTGTTCAAAGGCAACGGGCCAATGACCAAATCTTTCCAGTCTTCCCCCTCGCACTTGTCCAGCACCACCGGTGGAGAAGGAGCGCAAACTTTGTCAGCGCTGAATGACAAGCTGCTAGCTAGCAGTGTGGAGTCTCCAACTTTTGCTAAGATAGCTAAAATGGATATTCTTCTGTTCCACATGGACCGTGCTAGAAAATCGGCATCAGCGAGAAAGGTTTCCTCATCTTCGAATTTCGTTACCAGGATCACGGTGTAAAAGCAGCCCCGGTCGCAAGGGTCCAATATATAAAATTGGTTCTCCAGACTGTTGGCCCTGGGCATCAAGAGGATAGCGCTCAACGCCAAGCTAGGTATCTCGAAGTCCACCTCGGGGGAATGAGTGAGAAACGCGAAGTTGCCTTTCAGCCAGGTGTACAGCGGCCAGACGATCTCTTGCAGGTCCGTGTCGTCCTCGATGGTTATTAATACAGATCGAGACGGTTCTCTTATGTGCTTCTTCAAGAAGCTTTTGATGCAGGGTATCGAGTCCAAGAACGTCATCCGGTGTTCGTCGTTCACGGAGATCGTCTTTGTGATCAATCCTCGATCGCCGTAAACCCCATCCTGCTGGTAGCCCAGGATGTCAAAGGGCAGGACGATGGAAGACGAAGTGTACGTCAGTGTTAGCACTGTGACCAGTCGAGCGAAGTGTAAGGGCGACATGACGGTCGCGATCGAGACGCAGCCGCGACTGTCAGCTTCGGCAGGGCCGAAAGCGGCGTCGCGGTTATAAGTGGCGGCTCGATCCTTCGATTGGACGGCCACAGGCGAGATAATCGAGGACTCGGTGTCCTCTGCTAGATACGTATCGCGCTGACGAGCGTGTTACTTGTTTTACCCGCTCTCGATACGCGATAACGGATTCCATATCGGCTATCAGAGAATACACTTTGATCGCGGGGATTGCATCTACTCGATCGCCGGTTCGTTCCGCTTTTGAACGATCTATTCGATCAATTTGGAACTAGGTTCATCTTTCTTCCCGCGGTTCGTTGGTTTCTTTTTCTACTGCGGGGCTAGTTGAAAATGAAATTTCTGTCAGTCGCGGTCGGATCGGGTGTCGCATGTCGAGCGAACTCTATGCAAATACTCGCTGCGCCAGCCGATATACGGAACGCGGCGTTTCCCAGTCATGCGATCGTGACGTTGGAACCGTGCCGGCGTAACGTGACCAACATTCGAGCACGATTTTACAATGGGCGAAGGTCGCGCGAACGCGAGTCCTCGCGGCTGATCGGCTCCGAACTGGCGCCCGAAACCGTTCCGGATGCGGCACGACGCCGCGACGCGTGAACGCTGAATTTCGGGCCGAGTTTGTGCACCCTTTGTGCAGATGTCCGCCCGGTGTACGCCGGGATCGATAATTCAACGATACCGCCGCCTCTTCGGTGGATTTTTTGACGTGAGGAATCCGCTTTCCATTGTCGTCCGATTGTCCCATGTGCTTTTTCACGCAGGCCTATTGTCGGCTCGGAAATGAACTGAGAATTAACACTAAAACTACCAGACGAGTCAAAATGGCCTATTCCTGATTTTTTTTTGTAATTGTTTGTTGAAATATTGAAGAACTTGATTTAGCAATACTCAAACTGAATTATAAATCAATTAAAGTCTTAATAAATACAATCTTCGAGTTTCTATACAGGAATTTCAAAAAGTCAATTCAATTGCTCGGTATCTTTAGTGTTAACGCCTCGTCTCGCGATTTATCACATGCTCTTTGCTGGGATAATGTTACCATACGGTTTGAATGTTCATTATACTGAGGAATTTGCTTTCTCATTGGTGTTAGACTAGTTACTCATTGGGTTATGTAATTGAATTGCGAATTGGGAATTTATAAATAACTGGGAATTATGCGAATTGGTTCAAGGAAAGCGCCACTATGAAAGATGTAAACTTCATAAAGACCTAAGAGGCGATCGCATGCGAAGGGATCATAATAGTTTTATCTACCACCTTTGGTGGAAAGTGTTCTGTTAGCGTTAATAACGTGATCGACGAAGAAATGCCTTGCACGCGTGTTGCAAACGATGAAAGTATCATACAGCAATATTCTGCGAAATGTTTACGAAGTAATTGTTCTTTTACTAAACATGAGGCCGCGTACAATGTACTGTTTGCAGCTCCACGATTCATAAGCAATTAACATTCAAAGCAAACTTATTTTATTCAAATATTTTATACCATATCTCATACCGCATACTTCAGTTACTCAATTAATTGGCTCTAAATATACAAAGTGTCCTAAAAATTCAAAACAAAACACAACTACTCGAACACATTCACAATATTCTACACGATATCTCGTACCACGTGTCTCCATTACTCAATTAATTGGCTACAGATATATACAGTTCCCTTAAAATTTAAACAAAATACAGCCACTATAACACATTCACAATATTTCCCACCATATTTCATACCATATATCTCAATTACTCAATGAATTGGATAGAGGTGTATACAGTATCCTTAAATTCTAAACAAACTACAACCACTCCAATGCATCCACGACCCTCTTAACATGCGAAAAATCCGCGAGCAGCCAAACAATCTCAAAGAACCATCAAAATTCCCATCGTCGTAACTCAGACGCCGCTCGTCTCTCTTTTCTAGAGCGTTCGTGAGGATCCTGTGCGGCTGCTGCCCGAGACGGATGAGACGGCGGTATCAGCCGGCATTCAGATGCAAACCGAGCCAAGTGAGTATGAAACATTCATATTTCCCGTGCGTGCGCGATCCCCGCAGAGAACCGGCGGTAAAAAGCCGCAGAGGTTGCAACATCGCGGGGATTGTTCCGGTCCCGCGCGTCTAAAAACAATGGGAACGCCATAAATCGAGCAGGAATCCTCTTATCTCGAGTATAGCCAGTATTCGTATTCGACTAACGAAGCAGAATAAATAAAGCAAGCCGAGACTCGTTTAATCGCAGAGTTAATCAACCGAAATCGCTTTTGCAAATGTTCCTATCGAATTCAACACGTCGAATGCTGGACGATTTTCAAATATTCTGCCCGGGACGTATGAAGCATTCATGCCACGAAATATAAATTTATAATATATATAATATTAATTTATTTACTCGAGTGGCGTTGACATTCCTCGCGCGGTTATCCCGCTGAATATCGCTGCTTTATAACACATCATCTCTCTCAGATAAGTTTGCCAATGATTATAGTTTGATTGAATAAATTACAGTAAGTTGATTCAGTTGAGAATATTCTAGTGTCGGTCACCTGTGACCACGGTACTCAAACGTGTCAAACAGATCGTTCAAGCAACAGGCATGGAGACGATCGCTCGCGTCTCCATGGCAAATCATGCAAAATTGATTAAGGCTGCGGAAGTGACTACGGACTCAGGTATCCGAGCAGAAAGCGGTCAAGGGTGCAGCCGAAATTGGTTTTGAAAAGCAGCCAACCGATTAAATTTACGACTCCGGGTTGCTGGAACTTCTCGCGTCACCAAACCGTACGATTACCACCGATAACGTTGCTTTTTTGAACCCACTAGCCTCTTGGACCGATGTCCGCGCCCTACATCGGCTCCTTTAATTTCTTGTCAATCGCGCGGATAAGGACCTCGTTGTTCGGGCAACTTCTTCGCCGCGGATAATTTCGTCCCCGAGCCGATACGGGCGGAACCAGAAGGAATCGGAACTTCCAGAACGAGGGAAAGTTGCTAGATCTTCGCTCGCGGCCCGCAACATATTGGCTTCGGTTCGCGGAAACTCGAGTCCCCGAGCCAGGAACTTTTCTTATTTGTTAAAAAGGGAAGAGTTCGGGAGGATCGAAACGAATTATAATACGGGAAAAGAATCACAGTTGGAATCTGAATACAATTTGCATGAATCTAGGGTCGTGGAAAGTGTATCTCGATATTGTTCTGTTTGAGTTGGACCACATTGTAGAAAGTCTTAAGGATGAGAAGGTTGAAGAGAATCGTGTGAAATTGAGAGGAAATGATTAAGTTCTTATTAAAGATCAATTCTGGCGATTTCTAGCGATTGTTAAAAATTGAAAGGCTAGGAATTGCTAAAAATCGCGTGAGATTAAAAGGAAAAGATCGAGATTTTATTTAAGATTAAATCTAGCGATTCCTAGCGGTTGCTGGAAATTGAAAGACTGGGAATTGCTAGAAATCGCACGAGATTGAAAGAAAAAGATTAAGTTCTTCTTGAAAACCAGTTCTTGCGATTTCTAGCGGTTGCTAAAAATTGAAAGGCTAGAAATTGCTAGAGATCGCGTGGTATTGAAAGGAAGTGATCATATTCTTCTTAAAAGTTAATTCTGGCAATTTCTAGCGATTGCTAAGAGAATTACACGTAAGAACGAGATTCTAGCTGTCAGGTAGACACCTTGAAAACAGGTTTCCAAGGATAGACAGACGTCCAGTCGACGATGTCGCGTCGAATATTCCAGAAGATGCGCACCACAGCCCATCCAATTCGACCCGGAGTATCTGGTAGATATCTCAACGCACGGGAATCCAAGATGGACCCGGCAAATAGAAAGCGTAAAAGCAGCCGTGTCGCCGTTGTATCCAGTGTTATTACTAGACTGCGGATTTTGCGCGTTCGTAGCGGGAATATTGTCTGGGACGCGTTCCATTCGGAAGTCTAAAGAAATTTCATGATTTCACTTTATTTCAAGCCTGATAGAAACACCAGGAGATTGAATCAATTGTTCAACCCTTTGACACGGGGTTCAATTTAATAAACTTTATAAAGGAATTAATATTTTCAAATACCTCGTATATTATCAAATCTACAAAATTAACTTTAAAGAACTCCTCTATTTATTGATATACCTGCTTTTCGAACATTTCCAAGCTTACAAACTAACAAATTCATATCTTCAAATCTACAAAATTGATCTTTGCCCAAAGAACTCGCCCATTCGTTAACATAATTGCTCTTCGAACATTTCCGAACTCGCAAACTAACAAATTTACATTTTCAAATCTACTAAATTGACTTCAATCCAAGAAGATCGCACAGGAAAAATTAATTTCTACTTATCCCCCGTTCGATCAATCGCAAATGTACCAGTTCACCGAACGAGTCACAGTTCCTCGAGAATCGCATCCGGTCTACGTTCGCCCAGAAATCCGCAGTCGAGTTGTTACTGTTTTTTCAGAGATTCACGTCCGGAAGATACTACTCCGCGTACACGCTCCACCACGTGCGCAGCAGCCGAGAGAGCTCGTGCGAGCAAACCTACATTTAACGATGGGATAACGCCGCGACATGGATACCGGTGGTCACTGCTCGTTTGGACACCGCCCCGATACCTATACCCGATCCATCCGCGCCCCTTCCAATCCGTCGTTGTCGAAGCATCGTACGTCTTCGGGGACTCCTATCCCCCTACCACCGATATTCACCCCTATCCGGTCAGTAATGGCCCGAAGATACTTAGTACAGATTATCGGCGGAGGATTCTGTCACCGTTCCATTTAACATAGCCTCGGTATGTTGATCAGAGAATGGATGTATCGATCTCACATGCAACAGAGACACACACATACACGCGTGAACGTGTACACAAGCACCTGCACGAGCCACAACACCCTGTGCGTCGGGACAAGCACACACACCCATATATACACGTGTTCTTGGTATGCCTAGGAGACACTAAGCACTTGACCAACCCCCTGTGAAAAATCCCCTGCGCACGACCGTTCACACTTTTACCCACCACTTCGTCGCGAGATGTTGCCTTTCCTGAATTATCTGATTCTGATCTATTTCTGATCTTTTTTAACGACGGTTTTTTTCATGGAAATTTGCGATGCAGAAGCGATAACAATTAGCGTCCCGAAATTCTAGAGACGAATGTGGGACACTGCGCTGCTGCCTCAAGCTTCTCCGCTTTAAACGATGGTACGACCGGGAGGTGGTTGTTAAAATGTAAATGAACGTAATCTACGCGAAAAATTTAGTCGAAAACGTGCAGCGAATTTTCGTGGGTTACCTGTTTTCGAGATAATCCGCATCGGAAGTTAACGCGACGCGTTCACGCTAGCGAGAAATAGAAACGGCCATGGACACGTTGGTGCCATTCAATGGCACGCGTGCTTGACGAAGTTTCTAATTCGATTATCTCGGAAAATTTCCGCGAGAAAAATTTGGCCCATATTCTCGACTCAGTTTTTCGCGTGGAAGCTTTGTTGTATCCCGACGTGGGAAATATCTTTATGTGACTCAAACGATTTTTACAAATTACGCCAGTATCTTAAGATAATCTACGATTTTACCTTCAATCTACAGGAGTCTATCTTTCAATACTGCGACAAAATGCTAAAGCTGTTTAACCCTTTCGCTGCGAGCTACAAGATTTCTCGTAGCGTGCACTATAGGTATCAGTTAACTTTCCTCGAACGTCAATTTTAGGTAAAAAATAAAATAATAAATAATAATTATTTATAATATAAATAAAGAAATAATTTTACTTTCTATAAAATCAATTTTTGGCACCTATGGCAAGACGTTCTTAACTTCCCAATTGGGGAATGGGTCAACTTAAAAATTGGCACGGATTCTTCGATAGATTCTTTCGTAGTATCATCCTTGAGCGATAAACTGGGATCCCGGGAGCAGAGTTTTCACGCTCACGCAGCTCCTCACAATTTTAATAAAGATGGCGTAGAGATAGGAAATTTAAACGATTCTGTCAGAAACCGTTTAAGCTTCCAGCTAGAAGAACCGGTCTACGTGATTCTACGTTGGAAGAATCGGTCCGTTGCAAGTTGTTAGCGGCAAAACGTTCGCGGAAAATGTTTTCGCTGCGAAGTGAACGAATGAAAAAGGTCCGGAACACAATTTATCGGAGCTTCCTTCGCTAGAAAATCGCGTTTCGTCGAGCACGAGCGCGTTCAAACGCGACTTGGCTGCCGCGTCGCATCGTTCCATTACATTTTTATTTAACTTCGTTCCTTTGTATACGAATCGATAACACGCGCCACCCGCAGTGAATTACAATTGAAATTTGTATGGAGAATGTAGAACTTTGTCAGGGCCCCGACATGGAGCCACGGGACCCCGTTAAATTTTGCTATTAAATTGACTGAACGTCGAAATAGAAAATTCAGTGACTTTATTAATATACCTTTCTATTTGTGATCATTTTTATGAACACACAAGTCTGGGGAAGGCATCGTCGCAGTTCAGAGAGATTAATCGGAAATGCTTTGTAATACTGGTCAGGTTCCAAGTAGAAACATCGTGCTATGGTCAGACGCGCTCGACATTCTGGACCGAATTTCTCGAGGAGGAAACTTTGCAATAAGTACACTTCATCCTGCTGTCCACTCGATTATGTTGGTTATATACGGAGAAGTTGAATTCGAAGCTACTTGAAAAACGAAGCTGTTGTCCAGTCTCAATTAAAAACAAGTGCAAACTCTGTAAATGTTACCACAATCGAATTGAATTCACCATATGGCAAACTCGATTTTATTAAAATTGTATCAAACACGAAATTAAAAATGTTGTAATATTCAAAACACAAATATCAATTTCAGAGTGCAATTAATGAAAAATCGAATATCTCGCAAGTGCACGAGCGTCATCAACGACGTAATTTCATTAAACTTCCAACACCTTTTCCAACATCGCAAATTGAATGAAATTGCGTCGAAGGTAAAAAGAAATCAAATTGTTTGAATCCCCTAGAGCAATAAACCCGTTTAATCGAATAA